TGAAGGTCGAGGTGACCTGTCAGCTGCATTGTCCCACCTGCCAGGAGTAACACGTTGGGACGCGGGTTCGGACAATGACAATACTTATCCGAGAAGGATATCCTTTGTACATGTGAAAGTGTTATGAGATTCAACACATAGGATTTTACATACACATCCTCAAAGAAAGTCATTACGTTTAAAAATCAAGACATGTGTAACAATGAACAGAGTCTCCGCATTCAACTGCTTGGTGAAACATGCGACTCAATAGGATAGTATGGCTCACTGGGTTCAAGACGGAATTGCATAGAGACGATGTGCAGAGTTTGTTAGACGCGCCAGAAATCTTTTGTGAGTTCAAATCAGCACCACACCCAAGGCTTTCGCCAAACTGGTAGTCGTTAAAGAGCTGCATCACTTTCAAAGGGACACGGTCTCTCACTTTTTGACCGCTTTCATACCGTTGAGAAAGACCGAGTGGAATAAGTCTAATGGCTTGGAGATCACAGATCTTCCTTACAATTCTAACTCACTGAATACATAAAATCGACAACGACATTGACATAATTATTGTCCGTTTCCGGCTATAGCACACGCATGTGTTTATGAACCACTATCAAATTATTATACCAGGTGTTTGCGAAAAGGTGAGCGTATATTACCCCATGGGTGGCACCCGTCACAAACACATGCAAAGACAAATCAGTTGGTCACATGGACAAAGCACAAGGGAACGCCAACTATACTGAACCGCAAAAGAAACGTCACCCCAAGTACCATTACATGAAAAGTTGTCATTTAGATATCTGGATAATTTTTGTCAAAGTTTCTAAAATTTAACATCACCTTGTCCGGAAAAATGAAATTTTTATGATAAACAAACAAAGCAGTTGGCAATAAAACCGATCGCTCAAACGCATCACGGCAACGGCCATGGTAACCCGATGCACGTGAGTTCCGTGCAAATTGATATGCACATGCGTTCCCCCATTTCTTGCCCTATAAAAATCCACCCAGATCGGATAACATTCATTCGTTATTGAATTGCTACCACACGCCAAAATTGATAAGAAATCAGCGACACCAAGCCCTTGGACGATTGTAAGCTGGACAAACAGCCCGGAAAGCAGCCAATGCATTACAAGTTCACGTAAGGACCATATACAGGCTCCAGCAACGGCACCAGACCACCAACACTCCAGATGACCGACCACGTAGTGGAAGACCAAGGGTCACCACCCGACGTCAGGATCGTCAGTTTGTGCGACAGCATCTTCAAGATCGCTTTGTTACTGCTGCGGAAACTGCTCGACAGACCATGGGGACACACCAGCACATTAGTGAGGACACCGTGCGTCGACAATTGACGAACAGACACCTCCACTCTCACAGGCCACACCGAGGACCCATTTTGACACCACGTCATCGCCGGGACCGTATTCAGTTGGCAACACAGCACCAGCATTGGCGTCACCAGCAGTGGAGAAGAGTCCTCTTCTCAGACGAGAGCCGTTACTGTATCTCAACAGCAGATGGCAGAGAGAGAGAGTCTGGCGACACCGTGAGGAACGTTATTCGGATGCTTGTGTTGTTGAGAGAGACTAGTGGGGTGGTCCGAGCATCATGGTGTGGGATGGAATTGGTCTTGCACAGAGGGTCGGCCCTGTGGTCTTCCAGAACATCGGTCCAGGGAGAGGCATTGGTGTCACAGCAGCTCCGTACATTGATCAAGTCTTGAGACCACACGCCATACCTCATTTGGCACGTCGCCGCAACCACGAGTTTCAGCATGATAACGCCTGTGCCCACACTGCGAGAGCAATAAGAGACTTCCTCCAGCAGAATGGCATCAGAGCCATGCAGTGTCCTGATCTCAGTCCTGATTTAAATCCCACTGAGCACCCGTGGGACGAGATTCAAAGACGGCTGAATGACGTCTGACCAAGGCCGACAGCTGCAGCTAAACTGTGCCTATGGCCTTCATCAACCGCCTCATCCATTCCATGTATCGACGTTGCACGGCAGTCACCAATGCACATGGCGAACACACGAGATACTGACTTGTGATGCCATTTTCAACTTTAAGAACTATTGACACTTTAAGTTCAACCTTGATGGTCAGTTTTGCCAAGCATATCTTGTTTATATGTCTCAAAGTATGTTTACAGTGTTTGGACAAATGAGGTTTCTCATATATCTATCCATGGTGACGTTTCTTTTGCGGTTCAGTATATTTCGGTGTATTCAATACAACATCAGTCACTGTTTTGTACTGTGACCTCTACTGAACTGGAATCACAGCTGTGTCGCAGTCCTAACTAAATAATTCAAAACATACCAGCTCTGACGGAGAGAGATGAAAGCAGTAATATCGCTCTTTACTCACAGTTTCCTTTTAAAAGAGGTTGAGCAAATATTCCCCCTCTAGAGCGTCACAAAAGTAACTTGCACTGAAATGCACCGCATCGTGCACATTGTTCTATACAAAAATTATTCAATAGCATTCATGGTCCGGGAATTCCTTTGAAGGATTCATAGATGCAGTCCCCCCCCCCCCCCCCCCCCCCCACACCCCCCCCCCATGCAGGTACCAGCAGTGGTGCACCTCTCATATATATTACACAGTGACTGGAGTGTAATCGTTATCTTCTTCAAGGAACTACCTGGTAATGTTCCAAACAGCATAAGGAACGTCAGCTTTCGGAGAGGAAACTAAGGCTTACAATGACAATCAGGCTATTTCAGAAAGGAAATGTGTTCACAATGGATGTGGATGAAGATGTCTCGAGTGGCTAACTACCAGGTATGTAAATGACTTTCTGAATTGAAACAACTCAGGATATATACCTGTGTCCTTTTTGTCAAGATGAATTAATGTTAAGATTAATTCGAACTGACTAAGGCGACTATGCTTGTCGTAAGAGGCGACTGACGGGATTGGGTGGCACGCTGACTTGGTTGATGCATGTCACCGTATCCCAATTGTATGGATCGATGTTCATGATGTCAATCACTGGATTGTCTGTTCCAGACGCGATTATTTACAGACGGCCGTCATATAGCTGGAATGCGGCGTAAAACAACAAACAAACTGACCATACCATAACTGTACTATAATTTGTATTGTCTATCTTGGGAGACTGTGTTGGCTATAAGTGTTTAAAATCAACACTGAATGCACTGACTGTATGCCGTAATAGACTGTAACAATCTGCCGATGTGTGTTTATGCTGCAAAAATTAAATGATATGCAATAGTGAGCCAAAATATTTGTGTAATCTTATTACACGTCACGTAGACATAAAACATGAATATTAAGAAATAATATGCATTTACAAGGAATATTTTGCAAGACATAGCTGTGTGGTAAGGCCTTTCTTCCAGGCACTACCCGCTCTTGGAATCTGTTTCTAGCTGGTGTTAAGTATACTATTATGTATGCTGGTGTTACACATGCAATGAAAACTGTGCATGCCTTCACTAAATTGAGGTACTCGATATTATCAAATTGTTCGTGCTCGTTTAAGAATTGGGTGCAGTGATCTTAATAGTCCTATAGTTGAAAGACATACATGTATTTCAAATCTTGCAGCATTTCAGTGCGGTTTTTATGTCACTTTCCCTTTACTGGGGAAATTTATCCTGACTTTCGAAGCTCTATATTCTAGTCTGTTACACAAAGGGTTTTGATCTGAAAACTGTATTGTATTGTAACATGAACTTAACAAGAGATGTTAACTACACCATAATAGTAGTTTTGTATATTCGTGTCTCATTACATAAGTAGCATATGCATATGACTGTTTTTTTTTTGTTAATTGTTGTTTAACGCCGCACTCAGCAATATTCCAGCTATATGACGGCGGTCTGTAAATAATCGAATCTGAACCAGACAATCCAGTGATTGATATCATAAGCATCGATCCACGCAATTGGTATACGATGATATGCATCAATCAAGTCAACGAGCCTGACCACTGGATCCCGTTTGTCGCCTCTTACGACTAGCATGGGATGCATATATATATATATATATATAGAGAGAGAGAGAGAGAGAGAGAGAGGGAGAGAGGGGGGGGGGGAGAGAGAGTAATTGCTAGTTTATAAACAGATGTTAAAATATGTCTAGATTTGGCATTTAACTTATTTCAGTTGATGATTCTGAATAATCAGCGCCATTGTTGATGACATGGCACACGCTGTCTCCCCCAAGGGCATGGACCGAAAAAGATGAATTTTCATCCAAATATCATGCTTGTCAGTGACTCGGGCTTATTGAATTTCATGTATTCATGACCTCCCGATGCAGCTGTTTACAGCTGATAGTGCCAGAGGTGGTAAGCATATTATGTGGTGAGTCAGGTTCACAAGTCGTTGCAATATTTCAATACTGTTCCGACCGCCTCCGTGGTCTAGTGGTAGAGCGTCCGCCCGGAGAGCGCAAGGTCCGGGGTTCGATCCCCGGCCGCGTAATACCAAAAGACGTTTAAAGATGGTACTTGTTGTTACCCTGCCTGGCGCTCGGCATTAAGGGGCTAAAACAAGGACTGGTCGACTCGGAGTCAGTATACTGTGTCGGCGTGGGGTATTCATGTTAAACTGCGGCATGGTATCTCAGTGAACTAGCACTATAAATCGGCACCAGTCCGGACTAGTACAAGCAGCCACACAAACACACACAAAATGCACGTCGCTATATAAGTGCAATAATCTTGGACGCGGCGTTAAACCCCATTTCACCTCACCTCACCACACGTCGTTGCAATATTTTAATACTGTTCCTGCGTCTGACGGAGTAACTGTGAGTGTACAGTAGCCAGCTATACACACAGTTTCTAATACCAGTGCGTAAGACGAGAGCAACCCTATATTGTACGATCTCATCCGCAGTGACACTGCAGTTAAATAAACATTACTACATCTATATAAACATCCTAATGAGGTATTGGGGGTTGTGTTGCCACATTCACATACCATTATTTCCCACACCGTGAAACTGGACAAGAAAGTCTCCTTACCGTGTGTCGGTGGTAGTCAACCTGTTCATTCCGCCATGGTGTGTGCAATACCACTGCACACACGTTGCATAGCGTTGTGTGGGTAAACCGCACACTCTAGGCCATGGGAGAAGATCTGCATATGCATGTGGTGATCGATGAAATCCGCAGAAGATCCGTGTTCGTGTACAGTTTATATTTTCAGTTACCCCATGGCAATGTATGTGTAGCTGGGGGGCAAGCTTGCTTGCTTTCAGGCAAGCGTCGAATGTCTGACTGGGTAACAATTTTTTTTACATAGGATACAGGCGCTGGGCGGTGCAAACGACGACCTTTAGTCTGGAAGGTAATTTAAGGTAGCGACGTTTACTACAATATCTGAAAAAACTATTGGACCTACTCCAGTCACAGTTGGTATGAGATAATTAAACAGTCATACATGACTGGGTATTACATTTAAAGACAATCGGTGCATGAATAAAAAATCTGTCTATTTAGCTGTCACTATATTTCATCTACAACCAGACCTGTTCGTCACGGGTGGAACGAGCATTCATTGTAACAGCCATCTGCATAATGCTACCCCTGCGTCACTGGGCCATATGACGCAGTTGAACCAATCAACTCGAAAGGTTGCACGGGAATCACGCACGCACGAATATGGTGTTAGCGTTGCTTTATGGTTTCGAAGACAATATTTTAATATTTCGCAGATAATTCGAGACTTTCGGGGCTGTTTCGGGTGAAAGAGAATCAAATTCTGAGCCAAGAATTGCACAAAGTGGATAAGATCCGATTACGACATGTACTACAAAGCATGAGCCTGAAATTCGTAGACGATTCCTAGAAATTCTTTGATAAACAATTTCTTTTCTCACGAATCCCACGAACTACAAGAATGTTTGGAAATCAAATAAGATATATTTAAGATTCTTAAGAAATGATTAAGAATATGTACGAATATGTAAGAATTCATATCCGTGGTAATTCGGGCTATTACATGTCGTAGTGAAACAGGTGTATATGTATTGCACCATTCGTGGTCCCACGAAATGCCCTCGTCGTCAGATTCTGAGTCTGTGCTGTCACCTAAATGAACAACAACAGGCTGGACAGTATCTGGTCGGATACAGTCCCTTTTCTAATACTCTTCCTCAACTTTGATAACATGTTGGACACAGTTTGACCAACGTACATCTGTAATTTATCCCATCCCTTTCAAGACAATCTGCTTGACGTCGGCAAGCTTGAAGGTCTTATTTTGCCGTGCGACCATATTTTTCAAATCACCCCAGATTAGTTCGATGGGATTCTAGTCACAATGGTAAGGAGGAAGTCTAAGCACTTCGTGGCCTTTTTTCTCTCAACATGTTGTCAATCAAATAAGAGGGCGGGGTTTTGTTCTGAAGAACCAGTTGGTAGTAGTCAGTTTTTTTGGCTTTCGTGGGCCGAGCAGTGCGGTTGTTGTCCAACCACTGACATGTCTCACCTTTGGTGGAATTTTAGGTTGGACAACGGTTAATAGGATCTCGACAACTTTGATAGGGAGCATTGACCATAACCACCAAGGATTTATCAGGCAGTGCTAGGAGGGGCTGCTCCTCAACAGGAAAACCTGACTATTCATCTCGGTATGGTAGTCTCTGCCATCTGTAGATCTGGATTTGAACACTAGATCACACCCAGGGAGGAAACCTCTGTGGGAGCCTGCATGGAGGACAATCAGGCGCTCCCCTTTACCAGGGGTGTGTTTGTGTGTGTGTGTGTGTGGTGTGTGTGTGTGTGTGTGTGGGGGGGGGGGGGGGGGGGGGGGGATCTTGCGCTGAGACCATTGGTAAGCCGCTGTGTGGCAGGCGTTAACCCAGGTTTCGTATAAAATAGACAGGCTCATAGCCTTCTTCTCGTTTTTTTTAATAGTGCGCAAATAATTGATACGCAAACGAATGATATCTGGTCGTTCACACATTGCTAGTTTCGACCCTTTTGTCTTTTTGTACTGATATCAAAATTTGGAAAGGAGTTTACAAATGGTCCATTTGGAAATATCTAAGTCATGCTATGTAAGCAGAATTCGTTTTAGTTTTCGTGTTGAAATAATTCATTTTCTCGTGTTAACCGCCGAATCACGTCCCTGACAACTTTCTTATCAAAGGAATCTAACTTTAATTTCCTATCCTGTTTTGAGATGCTCCCTAAGGGATGTGCAGGGGAGCATGTGTTTTTATGTGAGTTCAAAATCTTAACTACGGTTTGTTTGGGAAGGTGTAACGCATGAATTGTTCTTTTCGTGTACTTTGAAATGTCAAAGAAGGGCGAACGTCTTTCACTTTCAGCCTTAAAGTATTCAATATTTAAACAACGAAACCTTTCGTATCAGCGGAAAGATTTTTTATTCATGCATCGATTGTCTTTAAATGTAATATCCAGTTATGTATGACTGTTTAATAATCTCATACCAACTTTGACTGGAGTGGGTCCAATATTGTTTTCAGATATTGTAGTAAACGTCGGTACCTTAAATTAACTTCCAGATTTTTTTTATAGAAGCGAACGACCTATTTTGAAAGGAAAATATTAGTGCATGCAAACATGAAACTGGAAGTGAGAAGGAATGGCACTTCAGTTGATGCGATGTACAGTTGAATGCATCTCACCTGTGGAAACTTTCACGAGCAATACTTTGGATGGTAAATCAATATTCGTGTTGTCTTTAATATTCATGCTGTATTAATCCTTACACACACGATATATGAGAAACCTTATTTGTCCAAATACCGTAAACATACTTTGAGACATATTAAAATGATGAAACTTGGCAAAACTGATCATCAAGTTTGAAATTAAAGTGAAAAATGGTCTTAAAGTGAAACACAACATTAGTCTCCGAGAAAATGGCATCACAAGTCAGTATCTCGTGTGTCCGCCATGTGCATTGATGACTGCCGTGTAACGTCGATACATGGAATAGATGAGGCGGTTGGTGAAGGCCATAGGCACTTGAGCCCACACTCAAGACTTGGTCGGACGTCATTCAGCCGTCTTTGAGTCTCGTCTCACAGGTGCACAATGGGATTTAAATCGGGACTGAGGGCAGGCCACTGCATGGATCTGTTGCCATTCTGCTGGAGGAAGTCTTTTGTTGCCCCCGCAGTGTGGGCACGGGCGTTGTCATGCTGAAACTCGTGGTTGCAGCAACGTGCCAAATGAGGTATGGCGTGTGGTCTCAAGACTTGATCAAAGTACGGAGCCGTGCAACGTCGATACATGGAATGGATGAGGCGGTTGATGAAGGCCATAGGCACTTAGGCCCACACTCTGAGGAACGCCTGACGCAGTTCAGCTGCAGTTGTCAGCCTTAGTCGGACGCCATACAGCCGTCTTTGAATCTCGTCTCACAGGTGCCTAATAGGATTTAAATCGGGACTGAGGGCAGGCCATGGTTTGATGCCATTCTGCTTGTTTCTCTCGCAGTGTGGGCACGGGCTAATGCTGAAACTCATGGTTGCGGCGACGTGCCAAATGAGGTATGGCGAAGGGTCTCAAGACTTGATCAATGAACCGAGCTGCTGTGACACCAATGCCTCTCCCTGGACCGATGTTCTGGGAGACCACAGGGCCGACCCTCTGTGCAAGACCAATGCAACCCCACGAGTCTCTCTGAACAACACAAGCATCCGTATAACCTCCCCCGCGGCGTCGCAAGAATCTCTCTCTCTCTCTCTCTCTCTCTCTCTCTCTCTCTCTCTCTCTCTCTCTCTCTCTCTCTCTCTCTCCTCTCCTCTCTCTCTCCTGAAACAAGTATTATACGCTAAGTATAGATTCAGTTACAACCATTTCCTTCAGTTTGCTTTGTTAAGAGAAGGAAAGTTGAAATCAATTTACATTGAAGAAGATCTCCTTTTATAACCGTGCGAAGTTCGTAAAATGTCTAATTATCCGATCATCTCAGTGCATTCTATATGAATACGAACACAACTTCTGGTCTATTGCATTTAGCGACATTTTGATGTATATTCTTACACCCTTTTCAAGCTGTAGTGACTACAACCATGTGATGATAGGTATATATATATATATAGCATTAACAACAACAGGTAATAGATAACAAGTAGCACACAGATAATTGTATGGAGCCAGATGTACAGTAAGAATAACAACAAGCACACATGTAATGTAAGAATTGAAAAGTTGAATAAGCTGATTGATTACTTATTAAGATACAAGCTGATTAACTGTTTTCACTGTTTAAAGTCTGGCATATTCTCCACACTGACCAAGCGAGCCACGAACATCTGCCATAGCGACCTTGACCTTGACAATAAACTTAATCATCTGCAGCATGTCTTCACCAACTTCGCCAAACCAGTTTCCTACCAATCTAGTCAAGAGGACCATCTCCGCCACACCAAAGCCCAAACCAAAATCGACCCGACCACAATCCGCCTCCATCAGGATCACCCTACGCTAAATTGGTAAGTCTTCACATCAAATCAGCAGAATACTTATCCCAAGCAGGCTCGATACCACCTAAAGTGGCTCCTCGTGCCTCCAAACCATTTTCGAAGCTAATGGGCGTTATCCTACCTCTAAAACGCAACCCCTAAAGGTGAGATCTAAGACATTAAAAAAGGTCTGGAAGGTAATTTAAGGTACCGACGTTTACTACAATATCTGAAAAACTATTGGACCTACTCCAGTCAAAGTTGGTATGAGATTATTAAACAGTCATACATAACTGGATATTACATTTAAAGACAATCGGTGCATGAATAAAAAATATGTCTACTTAGCTATCACTTTATTTCATCAACAACCAGACCTGTTCGTCACGGGTGGAACGAGCATTCATTGTAACAGCCATCTGCATAATGCTACCCCTGCGTCACAGGGCCATATGACACAGTTGAACTAATCAACTCAACTCGAAAGGTTGCACGGGAATCACGCACGTTGACACGCCCAACGCTAACACCGTATTCGTGCGTGCGTGATTCCCGTGCACCCTTTCGAGTTGAGTTGATTGGTTCAACTGTCTTTAAATGTAACATCCAGTTATGTATGACTGATTAATAATCTCATACCAACTTTGACTGGAGCCATCAAATATCAACGGGATCGGGTGGCAGGCTTGCTGACTTGGTTGATGCATGTCATCGATCCCAATTGCGTGGATCGATGCTCATGATATTAATCACTGGATTGTCTGGTTCAGACTCGATTATTTACAGACCGCCGTCATATAGCTGGAATATTGCTGAGTGTGGCGTTAAACAACCAACCAACCAACCAACGTTCCAAACGTCAG